CAAATGAACTCAAAACTATTAGAAATATGCAAAAAAGAAATTGATGACCTACTCAAAAGGAAATTAATAAGAGAAAGCTCATCTCCTTGGAGCTGTTTTGCCTTCTATATTGAAAAGGCAGCAGAAAAAGAAAGAGTACCGAGGCTTGTTATAAATTATAAACCTTTGAATAAAGTACTTAAATGGAGAAGATATCCTATACCCAATATAAAAGATTTGCTTGATAGATTAATCAATGCATGTATTTTCTCCAAATTTGACTTAAAATCAGGTTATTGGCAAATCCAAATAGATGAAAAAGATAGGTATAAAACAGCCTTCAATGTTCCATTCGAACAATATGAATGGAATGTAATGCCGTTCGGATTAAAAAATGCTCCTTTTGAATTTCAAAAAATTATGAATGAAATCTGTAATCCATACATGAAATTTATGATAGTATACATAGATGATGTACTTATATTCTCAGAAAATATTAATCAGCATTTTAGGCATATAAAAATATTTATCAATGCAGTAAAAAATGCAGGACTTGTTGTATCAGTTAAGAAAATTAGTTTATGTCAAACTAAAATCAGATTTTTAGGACACAACATATTCAGGGAAGTATCATCCCTATTGGTAGAGCCATAGAATTTGCAGACAAATTCCCAGATATTATTCTTAATAAGACTGAGCAGCAAAGATTCCTAGGTTGCCTAAATTATATTGGAGACTTTTATAAAAATTTAGCTATGGATGCAAAACCTTTGTTTGATAGATTAAAGAAAATTCTCCATTCTCCTAAATGGACAAATGAACATACTCTTGCTGTAAGAAAAATAAAAAAACATGCTAAGAATTTTCCCTGCTTAACTTTATCTGATCCAAATGCCTTTAAAATAATAGAATGTGATGCTTCTGATGTTGGGCTCGGTGGAATTCTTAAACAACAAATGAACAATACCAAACAGCTGGTTAGGTTTACATCAAAGGCATGGAATTCTACTCAACAAAACTACTCTACTATTAAAAAAGAAATCTTACCAATAGTTAATTGTGTAACAAAATTCCAGAGTGATATCCTTAATAAAAAATTCTTAATTCGCACAGATTGTAAAGCTGCTCATGATATTTTATTACGAGATGTTAAAAATTTAGTTTCCAAACAAATTTTTGCCCGATGGCAGGCTATTCTTTCTGCTTTCGATTTTGATATTCAACATCTTCATGGTTCTGCTAATTCTCTTCTCGACTTCCTTACTCGTGAATTTTTGCAAGCGGGAAAGGTATAT